GGCGCGCAGCTCGCACGCCCTCTCCGGCCCCGGCCGCGGCGTGCGCGCCCCCACTGCCCTCCGCGTCAGCGCACCGGGATGTCCCCGGTCCTGCCTGGAGGAGGGCCCCTCGGCACTCGCAGACACATCCTGGCCCCCCCGGAGGCTTTCTTTGATCAGGCCGCTTCCTTGCGCTCAGCCCCCGCCGCTGTCGCCGTCGCAGCCCCAAGGGAATTCCTGTTGGAGCAAGTTGCCGCCGGCGCCCGGCGCGCTCCAGCCCCGCGCTGCAACTCCTGCCCAGCCCGGAGAGTCCGGCGCCACCTCGGCCCTCCCTGACGGCACTCCGGCTACCCGGACTGGCAGGGCCTCGAGGGCAGACAGGCGAGTGGCGGGAGCCTGCAGATCTTGGGCAACTGTTTACTTATGCATGAGGTAGGTTTGCTTGGGGAGGAAGTCTGGAAGTAACTTCCCCAAGGCTTTTCCAACTCTGCTACTTGGCGGTGGAGACCAGGGGAAGGGCACTGTCCCAACACCTGCCATTCTGCACCCAATTTCCTTGGAGTGTCCTCAGAGCACTTTAACGACCAGGAGAAAGTGGACGCTCAGCTGTGAGGATAAAGTCCCAGAAGGACAGCGGGGAGACACGTTTGAGGGGGGTGCTCAGATGATCCTGCCCTGCAGCTCGGTTTCACCTCGTTTTACCTTGGATAAAACGGTGGGGCTGCCCACTCTTTCCAGTGAGACACTAGGTGCAGGGATCCTTGCGCTGTAGGCCTCTCAGATCAGCATAATGACCTACCTCCGAGTGACTGAAACCTGAAAACCGTAGTCTGTGATCAAGATCGGGAACTCTGAGGAGCGGTGACAACGTAGTGACTGGGATGGGGCTGTTAGGGAATGTGAGCGCAGGGACACGGGGCAGGCGGAGGGTTTCAGACAGGTCAGTGAGTAGCAGTCAGAAGGCATTAGGGAGATGCCCAGCCAGGGGCCATGTGAGGGGGCACAGGACATGAGTCAGGTTTCAGGGCAGGGTTGATGGATCCCCGGAGGTGGTGGAGAGGGTGCCCAGGAAGCCCAGGCATTGGTGTAAAAACCTTTGGATTCTGGTTGAGCCAGAGTAAAACTCTTGGGGGACTGCAGTTTCCTAAGACTACTCCTATTCCCAAAAGGACACTGCAGTGTTTT